TTCATTATAAATATTTGTGACTTTTAATAAAAAAATTTTGACGTAATATTTTCAAGAAATGTCAGTTTTTTTGACTTCAAATATTTGTCGGCCAAATGAGTTGTCGGCGAAGTGTGCATGTCGGTCAAACAATTTGTCGGCGAAATGGTGTCGGCCAAGTGATGCGTCGGCCAAGTGACCCGGACCCAACTATAGACATAGAGGTAGAGAAATACACATACGAGCATAAAACAGATGTTGGTGTAAATTTATGGACTTCCTAGGCGAACTTTTTTTCTCATGCGCATGCACTGCCTGACCATCTTGAACAAGAAAGTCAAGCGCCCAGGACACATCTTGAGATAAATCATGAGGCATTTTGGCAGGCTCAAACGCTTAAACCTCTTGACTTCAGTACTTATGTTCGTTACCCAAGTACTTGCCTTTCTTACTCGAGCGCATGTGATGCGTTTGCGTCTTATACTTTTCGTTATTGTTTAGGGCGTTTCGAGTACATATAACCTGCATTTTTTGTGATTTGACGTTATTTTTGACAAAATAATAGAATTTAAAAAGTCAGTTTTCCGCTGGAGTTCTAGCAGAATGGACAAAGTATTTTGAGAACACTCTAGCATAACTTTCTGAAGAACGAGAGCATCTCTGTGAACAAGTATGGAAACAAAACTTGGAGAGGTCACTTCCGAGCATGGCAGTAAGAAATCTGAGCTCGATTCGAATCGAATTGGAATGTTGAGGTTAAAATTCTCGTAAGCAAAAAACTTAACGTTTTGTGTTTTCAAAATTTTTCGAGAATTTCCCTAGAGGTGGAAAGGAAACTCCTCACTTGGAACTATCGATGTGCTCTACAACATAGTAAAAGATCAGAAAGGTGTCCAGTTCACACTCCTATCCCCTTCAATCTGATCTGGACAGAGGTTAAATGAAGGCCTTACTAGGGTGTATTTATGCACCTGTGAATGAGGTTTGGAACAGTTTTTATTCGGTCAAAAAGATTTTTTTTCAAAATCAAGATATTTTAATACTACTTTTTTACTTCTTCTATATCTTAGCATAAAATAATAAAACTTTAATCAACACTAAACCTGTGGAACATGATTACAATTTATAATTATTCTGAGTTTTCTTGCCAATAAGACTCTTCTACGTTATATTCTAGTCTGCTGGTTTCTTTCATTCTATTCATTTCACTCAATGGTCTACTTTTTCCAAAGAAAGTATGAAATCATGTTAAATGAGAAGAAAAGTATGAATTTCTTTGTTGACATAAAACGCTGCTAAATATATTTTACAACAAAGAAAAAACAAAACTATAATCAACTTTGCAAACAGGTCAAAATTAACTCAAATAAATCATGTTCCAAAAATTTTACTATTTAAACGTCGTACTTCTTCATCTGAAACGTTATAAATATTCCGACGCATGAAAGTAGGATCAGATAACGCACACAGAACATTCTCAATAGAAACCGAATTCTTGCGTACTTCTCGTGGATGTTTGTAAAAGCTTTCGGCCGTTTTTTTGTAAAAGATTAACGTAGAGGCTATCCTTCGTAGTTTGTAAAAGCTCAGCAGGCAGCCAAGATGGACCGTCGTCAACGGCTATCCAATCGCCAGCTGAAAAATCATGCGAGGAAGATTCTAGTTTGTCTATAATCACTTTACCATTCTTTCGAATTTTCTGCTCCACATCATCTTCTTTATCAAATGACTTGTCATCCCCAAGTTCATGAACTTCATCTTTATCTAATAGCATAGGAGCCTTTAGAGTTCCTTTTCGAAGTTGAGCAGTCATTCGGCTGAACAGCGATCTCATCTGTTGAACTGTGTGATATTCATTGACCAAAAACACTTTTTTACCTTTTTTGACAGCGGAACGCATGAGATCCACCGCTTTTATTGCTGATACTTTCACACCCGTATTTTTTCCGGCCTTGATAAATCATATAAAAAAATCTTTTGTTTGTAAGAAAACCGTACAATGTTTCGAATCCGTAAGGCCCAAGCCTCAAATCCAACTTTTCTTCAAAATTCCGAATTAGATAATTGAGATTGTGGAACTACCACAATCAGGGTTGTAGTTGATGTGGTAGTAGCTGAAGAGACTCTTAGTTTATGTTGCGCAGCGGTTTAGATGTACTACTGCGAGAAAGAAATATCAAAAGACTCAAGACTTTTAGACTTATATATTAATAATCAGACAGCAATGGTTCATCTGAGTTATGATTAAGAAAGTTAATCAGAAGTTCACTACAGGTGTTTATCATAAACCAATTGATATGGGTCAGTATGTAAATTAGAAAAGTGTTGCTCCTAACAGGTATGAAATTGGATTAACTCATACTTTGATTAATAGAACCTGGAACTTATGTTCATCTTATGAATTGATACATAAGAAATTACCAATATATAAGCGAGATATTGAACGATAATGGATATCCAAAACATGTTGTTGATAGTGAATGCATTATACAGCGTGTCTTAATCATGTATGACGAGTATATAAGTTTTATCCATACGTTAATGCATGTTTGACAGAAAAAAAGATTAATATATCAAGTATCAGATTATACTCATTCCGTTGTTGAATGCAATAGATTTTGAATCCTTGGACTTCAAACAGACTTGATAAAAAAATCCCCAAGTCAAGCCCAAGTCCGTCAATAAAAGCTTCAAGTCCGGACTTGAAATTGCCCAACTCTGTCTTCTCGAACATTTTTTGGCGATGGGGTCTGTTTAATATGGAATGGAACGTATTTTTATGTTGGTAAAAGCAGCGATACTGCTGCTAATCGAAGAATGTATTCTGGTCAAAAGAAACGTCATATTTTAAAATGATGTCTATCACGTTTCCGGATGGATATGTCTTAGATACGACTGGTCCTTATGCTGGTAGTACAAATAGTGCATCGATTGCTCAACATGTTACAGAAGTCCATAATGATCTGACGGAATGGTGTAATGTAGTAGTGCTTGATCAAGGTTTTTTGGTAATGTACGAGAAACTTTTGAGTAGTTAGGTTTGGAAGTTAAAATGCCTGCTCACTTGACAAAAGATGAAAAGTAACGTTGTACAACAGACGCGAATAAAAGTCGTTTGGTTACTGAAGTACGATGGTCAATAGAATCATGTCATTCCCGCTTATAACGATTCTTAACACCATCGGCAAACCGTGTGACAAAATATTTAGCCTCAGTGAGGTTAAATACATGTAAGTGTTTCGAAGTTATGATCGAAAGTAACCAAGATTGTTTCCGTAAGAGCATAATGACTCAAAAACAAAATACAGACATGTTAAAGGTCAAAATCGGTATTGCACTTATTATTAAAATTAATCCACTACAGCCTGATTCACTTCTGCCCGATATTCTCACAGTCGAAAACACTAAACGTATTACTTAAGCTAAATCAGTAGCGGCAAAACGAGAGACGATAGTTAAACAAAAAAGCAAGCTCGATCGAAGTCATTGAAAGTAAAACAAGACATTTCAGAATATGAAGCAGAAACATCAATAATAGATGTCGATGATTATGAACAAACACAACTGTTGAACGATGTTCGAAGACAAGTATGTACAAGGAGACAAGAGACTGGTACAGTATTAAAGTTAGAAAGCACTGACGAGCGAAGGTGTATCGTATTTAGTGTTCCATTAACTAGCGAAGTCAATTAGACTTCCATCGAACAGTCATCTATTTGTGTATTTCGGAATTCCGTAACTAGTCTTGTATGACACTAGGCCGTTTGTTCAGGCGTTATTGCACAATATTTTATTTTAATATTTCTTATCTTGAGCATCATGCATTTCTACACGCTTTAACTTAAAACATCAAAGATGACGCTTCTGCACTCCTTCCGTTTGGTCTTAATAATTTTGTTCGCATTATTGTTGTCCAAGTTTCTATTCTGTATGTATAAACCATTTTTCCTATTGAAAGAAAAAGAACAGATTTTATGTTTTATCGGACGCTCCATAACCATATAGATAAATTTACAATAATTATATCTAGAGTAGATCTATACAGATATAAAAGTTTCAAAAGCAAATTTGTTTTAAGAAGAATATTGCTACAGTATACTGTCTTGCTGCTGAGAAACATTGCTAGAAAATATAAGAAATTATATTGATTATCTTTCTTCTCTATATAGTTATTAATGACAACTTGGAAATTAAAATAAAAGAAGAAATATTAAAATGAAATCTTGTATTCCGGAATTCCATGACTAGACAAACACTCGATCTAGGTATGAGTCGAAATAGCCAGACAGGTGTTTAAGGATAGATAGATCAAATTAAATAGAAAAGTCGTATTTCAGCCTTAACTACTTTTTTGAAATTTTTTCCTCTTCAGTTTGAACTAGAGCAGCGTACGCTTTGTATAAGGAAGCTTTTGTTAGAAAATATAATAGTTCGTTCCTCATCTCCCGCCCACGTCTGCTTGCTATCGCTGTGGAGCTTACGAGGGAACATTCTCAGGTGTCCCTCGCTTTTCAAATGATACTTGTCTCATTCAAATGGCCTACTGAGACTAGAAAAACCTCAAAAGGAATTGAGTTCATAGGCCTTTCTTCTCGAGTTATAACCGTTTTACTGTAGTTTTGCCCTGCTGGAAGGGATTTGAGAAAAAGTCGAATGACGTATTTTCGACCTGATATTTTGCCCATAGATAGGTTTCATGGTCACTAGAATGTCCAAAAAGTTTCAGCCGAAACGAATGCTTCCTTCTCGAGATAATGAATTTTCTTTTTGGCAACTCGGCATTTTTAAATTACTAAATAAATATGGGCGTTTTTTGAAATTCGACTAGTTCGAGAAGGAAGCATCCGTTTTGGCTGAAACTTTTAGGACATTCTAGTGACCATGACACCTATCTATGGGCAAAATATCAGGTCGAAAATACGTCATTCGACTTTTTCTCAAATCCCTTCCAGCAGGGCAAAAAAGCAGTAAAACGGTTATAACTCGAGAAGAAAGGCCTATGAACCCAAGTCCTTTTGAGGTTTTTCTACAAGTGAAAGAAAAAAACCGTACGTGTTGTTGAAACGATGAACTAAATGACCTAATGAACGTAACGTTAATAACGTAAGGAGGAGATGAGAGTATTAAAAAAAGAAAAAATGTGAAATATGTGCAAGAATAAATACTCTAATCTCCTGAATCTTTGGTTAAATTTTTTAGAACACCCTCAGGAAAAATAAAAAAAGCAATAGAGCGTACAGTGTTGTTCAATTTTGGTTTAAGGCTTAAAATTACTAAATATTCTTTTATTAATAATCTATTTAAACTATTATCTTTAAGCAATATTTTAAAATCATCTCAATTTATTTTATGCTTTGTGTCGGAAATATGTTTAGAAATTGTTGATTTACTTTCTTTTCCAATTATAGGATCACGGGTCGAATCGTCATCGTCTAAAAGTATTAAATTAGATACAGTTGTTATATTATTTTTATTTCTATTAGCTATTCGAAAAGAACGTCTTAAGTTGGTTGCATTAGAGTACTGTGTAACACATTGTTTAGTTCTAGTCTTCTTCGATGATTTAGAAAGATTTTGAGCATGTGCTGAGACAGAACTAGGGTCAAGAGCACATTTTGGTGTGGCATGTTTCACTGGTCTTCTGCAAACTTGCCTTTCACTTTTACCAACATACGAATCGTCACAATCATTACAATTAACTGCATAAACTAAATTTGACTGAAGTGAATTAGGAATATTGTCCTTAACTTGAAAAATTGAACGAACTGATTTTGGTGGTTTCATAATTATTTTTAAATCATGAATTATGATTAAATCACTTAATTGTTCTTTTGTCAAATAAGTTAACTTTTAACTTAGTATTCTAGATGAATTTTTCACAAATGACAGGTCAACAACTAGACGAGTTTTCTTAAAATTATCTTTTTTAGTATTATTTGCTGCTGTATAATGTTAGAAAAAGACTCATCAATCTATGAGATATACAATTCATACACGAGAATGAAATTGATAATGTTCTGCCTTTTCTTGACGTGAAAGTTATGTGGAAATAAAAATGTAAATAAAATATCGGTCCGACTGTGATTCTGTATGCTCTTTTCAATGACATCCGCTCCAGGGGAAAACAAAAAATTTCTGTACATCTTTTGAATTTCCGGAGAAGAGTATTTATTTGCGAAAGAAGAACAACAGTCGTTTTCTTTCTGTTGGAAAAAAACAACATTAAGAAAAGAAACGGAAAGAAGTATTTCTACTTCAGGATATTTTTGGAAAAGCTAATTTTCGGTCGAAAGAACATAACAGTGAATGAAGAGACAAAGACTCCAGCTACCGTAGTAAAAGAAACTTTTAGAAAGTGTTGGCATTTTTGTCAAACACAAAAACATCAAAAGAGTCAAAGAAAAAAAGACAAAAAGAGTGCTGTTTCTACGATTGGAGCCAAAGCGTTTCCTGTGTTGCTTGAAGTACATAAGATTAATATGTCTAGCAGATCTGAAAATAGTTCTTGCTTGCAATGTGGGAAATGAGACATCAACAAAAAATAAAATTGCTTGCAAAATGGCCATGACCATTTCGAAAATATTATTCGCGTAGTTTTCTATGAGAAAAGACACAGAGTTTTAAAGTTTGAACATGACCTGATCAGCATTAGTAATGCAATAAGTTTCGATAACATGCAAACTTGATAAGTGGAAAGTGTTGATAAAGTAGTCAATGTTAATATATAATACGACTTTTAGTTGATACAAAATGCCTGATAGGCACCAAATTACAAACTTTTCACACCATTTTAGTTTTGGCTTATTTATACATCATTCGGTAGAACTTTCCAAG